AGGGTGTGGGGCAGAGGGCTGCCCATAGGACAGGCCCTTGGGGGGGTCACATGGAAGGCTGAGCAGAAGCCAGTGTGGTGAGACCCCAAACAAGTCTTTTATCCTTTTTAATTAAAATGTTGACATATAACTCCCATGTCATAAAACTCTCCCTTTTAAAGTACACAGTTCAGTGGTTTTACTATATATTTGTATTGCTGTACACCAGCAGTGCCCAACCCTTTTGGCATCAGGGACTGATTCCGTGGAAGACAATTTTTCTACGGACGGCGAGGGTGGTGGGGTGGGTAGATCAGTAGGCATTAGATTTTCATAAGGAGCGCGCACCTTCGCTACCGGTCATGCACAGGTCCTGTTTGCGACTAGCTTCTTTCACTTAGCAAAATGTCATCAAGGTTCACTCATGTCTCATCTCCTATGATAATCGAATGCTGCCGCTGATCTGACAGAAGACAAAGCTCAGGCAGTCGTGAGTCCCACAATGGGGGTTGGCTGTAAATACAGACAAACCTCTGCTCATTTGCCTGACACTCACTGCCTTCTGTGCGGCCTGGTTCCTAACAGGCCGTGGACAGTACCAGCCGCCGCCCAGGGATTGGGGAATCCTGCTGTATGTTAGCCCAAAGGCGCGGGATTACAGGCTGAGCCACCCAGCCCAGCTGCATTTTTTTTTTTTTTTGAATTGGAGTCTCACTCTTGTCGCCCAGGCTGAAGTGCAGTGTCACGCTCAACACAGCCTCGACCTGCTGGGTTCAGGCAATCCTTCCACTTCAGGCTTCCAAGTAGTTGAAACTACAGACGCAGGCCACCACGCCCGGCTAGTTTTTTGGGTGTGTGTGGTTTATTGTAGAATCGAAGTCTCACCAAGTTGCCCAGGCTGGTCTCAGACCTCCGGGTTCAGGCAATTCTCTCACCTCAGCCTCCCAACGTGCTGGCATTGCAGACTGAGGCACCGCACCCAGCCCACATTAGGGAATTTTCATCACTTTGTCCCCATTAAATAGTCACTCATCACCCCCGTCCCCAATGCCCTCAGCTATGGCAACCATAAATCTACTTTTGGTGTATATGGATTTACCTATTCTGGACTTTTTTTTTTTGAGTTGGAGTCTCACTCCGTCAAGTTGTCCAGGCTGGTCTCGGAGCCCCGGGCTGAGGCCGTCCTCTCGCCTTGGCCTCCCAAAATGCTGGGATGACAGGCTTGAGCCACTGTGCCCAGCCCTGGACATTTTATATAAATGGAATCATACAATATGTACTGTTTGCGACTAGCTTCTTTGACTTAGCAAAATGTCAGTAAGGTTCATTCATGTTGTAGCATGAATTTATACTTAATTCCTTTTCATGGCTGGATAATATTTCATTGTATGGATAGACCACGTTTGTTTATCCATTAATGGACTTATTGGCTGTATCCTGTCTTGGCTATTATGAGTAATATGGACACATGAACACTCATGTCCAAGTTACTGTGCGTGCCTGTGTTTTTCAGTTCTCTTGGGTTCATTCCTAGGAACAGAATTGCCGGGTCATATGGCAACTTGTGTTAGACTTTTGAAGGACGGCCAGCTGTTTTCCAAACTGGCCTCACCATTTCGCTTTATTTTTATTTTTTGAGTTGGAGTCTTACTCTGTTGCCCAGGCTGGAGTGCTGTGGCATGCTCACAGCCACTACAGACTCAATCTGCTGGGCTCAGGGGAGCCTTCCACCTCAGCCTTCCAAGTAACTGGAACTACAGGTTTGCACCACCATACCCAACTACTTTTTAAAAAATTGATTGTGGAGACAAGCTCTTGCCACATTGCCCATGCTGGTCTCAAACCTCCGCGCTCAGGCAATCCTCTCGCCTCCACCTCCCAAAGTGTTGGGATTACAGGCATGAGCCACCACACCTGGCTTATTTTTATTTTATTTTTCGAGTTGGAGTCTCACTCCACTGCCCAGGCTAGAGTGCGGTGACATAATCATAGCCACCACGGTCTCAATTTGCTGGGCTCAGGCAATCTTTCCACCTCAGCCTCCCAAGTAACTGGAATGACCGCCACACCTGGCTAATTTTTTGATTTACTGTAGAGATGAGGTCTCACTAAGTTGCCCAGACTGGTCTTGAGCCCCTGGGCTCAAGCAGTCCCCTCACCTCACCCACCCAAAGTGCTGGAATGTTGGCGTGAGCTGCTGTGCCCAGCCCATTTTGCATTTCAGTCAGCCACACGTGAGACTTCCAATCTCTGCGCATCCCCACCAATACCTGTCATTATCTGTCCTCTGGTTATAGCCATCCTGGTGGATGTGCAGTAACATCTTGTTGTGGTTTTGCTTTGCAGTTCCCTAATGATTTCTCATGTTAGGTGTCTTTTTATGTGCTTTTTGACCATATGTATATATGTTTTTTGGTTGTTTTTTTTTTTGAGTGGGGTCTCATCACTCTATTGCCTTGGCTGGAGTGCAATGGCGAGATCACGGCTCACTGCAGCCTCAAACTTCTGGGCTCAAACATCCCTCCCACCCCCGTCTCCCAAGTAGCTAGGACTACAGTCACCCACCAACACACCCAGCTAATTTCTTTTTGTTTTTAAGAGATGGGGTCAGCCGGGATCGGTGACTCAGCCTGTAATCCCACGCCTTGGGAGGCTGAGGTGAGTGGATTGCCTGAGCCCG